ATATGTTTGGTCTTAGGGTTTAAGGATTATCTCAAAGCAGTAGGTTTTTTTTTCTCGGGGGGTGGGGGTGGGGGTTGTCCATCCCAGAATCAGCTATTTTATTTTATTTTCACATATTTAAAGTAGAGAGCCAGAAAAAATGAGATAAATCTTCAATGAGGTGACGTATACTCATTAATGACATTAAGTAACACTCAGATAACTACAATGGGCACCCTTTTGTTCTGTCTTAGAAAAACTGACTGATATTGAGTTCACTGCTGACTCATAGCAACCCCCTGTGGGTTTCTGAGACTGTAACTGTTTACAGGGGTAGAAAGCCCAGTCTTTCTTCCTCAGAGCTGATGGTGGGTTTGAACAGCTGACCATGCGGATTGCAGCCAACAAACAAAGCAATGAAGCAAGTTTCAGGGAGTTGGGGGTGGGGGTGTCACAGACTAGCAAGAGACAAACAGCCACACAAATAAATGTTAAGTTTCCTCCAAAAAAACGATTCAGTGAGATAAAAAGAAGAGATTGGCCTATGGTACGAATTAGGGTAGTGGTAGGCAGAAGAATTTGAGAACTGTGTAAATAGTAGAACCGTTGATGACTGTCGTTAAGTGCTGTCAAGTTGGTCATGACTCATAAGGACACTGCGTACACCAGCATGAAACACTGCCTGGTCAGGCGCCCATCCTCACAATTGTTAGGCTGATCGCATTTTTGTAGCCACCGCGGCAATCCATCTCGTGGGATTGCTTTACCAAGCATGATGCCCTTTTCCAGTGACTGGCCTCTCCTGTTGCATGTTCAACGTGCATGAGACGAAGGCTTGCCACCCTCCCTTCTAAGCAGTATTCTGATTATACCTCGTCCAAGACAGACTTGTTTGTTCTTCCGGGGGTCCATGGCACTCTCAAAATCTGTTGCCAGCACCATAATTCAAATGCATCAATTCTTCTTCAGTTTTCCTTATACAAAGCAAATTCTTATTTAAGAGTTCTTCTTTATTCCCTTTTCAAATTGGAGCTGTAAGAAGTTCAAACTCAATTAAGAAGAGGATGTGGAACACGGGAGATCATTACTGATGTCAGATAGATCTTGCCTGAAAGCTGAGAATCATACCCTGCAAAATGTTTTCCTGTGTTTTATCGTCTATGCAGAGGCATTCGACTGTGGATAATAGCAAATGATGGATGGCATTGAGAAAAATGGGAATTCCAGAACCCTTCATGTTGTATAATAGGTAGAACTAGGCAATTGATGCATTTGAATGTGGTGCTGGAGAAGAATATTGAAAGTACCATGAACTGCTAAAAGGACAAACCAATCTGTCTTGGAAGAAGTATGGCCAGAGTGCTCCTGAGAGGCTAGGATGGCATGCTTGGACTCACGTACTTTGAATATACTGTCAGAAGAGACCAGTCCCTGGAGAAGGACCTCTTACTTTTCGCTCAAAAGGGAAGGGCCTCCAATGAGATGGAGTGACACGGTGGCTACAACAATGGGTCCAGGTAGAGGAACAGCTGTAAGGACAGGGTGGCGTTTCGTTCTGTTCTGTGTCGTCGAGTTGCTGTGGGTTGGAACCAACTTGATGCCATCTAACAACACACAATTGATCAGATTAGTGATGCCTAACCAGGTTGATGTTGATCTCTAGGAGACCTTCTGGCTACAGGGCAAATATGCTGCTAATGTAGAGGGTAGCCCTTAAAAATAAAGACTTTTCTGGCTCAAAACTAAGCACAATTTTAACTGTTTTAATAAGGAAGCCATGACCCCACCCACCCACCAAAAAAAATTCATTTTTTCCTGAATCAAAGCTAGTTTAAGGCTGTCGCTGTTGAATCATGCTTTAAAAAAGCTTTGCAACACACTAATTACATTTTAATTTTCCCAATCAAGTCTTGCTTACATTGAATCCAAGTATCTAGTAGAGTGGTAAGGCCGTTGTGTTACCATTCTCTGTTGTTAAATATGACTATCTAACAACTAAGTCCTGATTTAAATCGTTGATCGGAGAAGGATCACGTTTCATATCCTTGGGACTGCGCAACAGACCTCAGTGTGGAGGAGTAAAGCACTGTGGGAAATGCAGAGATGTGCCACTGATATGTACGTTCAGCTGCAGGGTCCAGGAGAGCCTGCTGCTTCAATCTGTGTCCTTCAGGCTTCTGCTCCATTGTAGACGGTTGCCTCTCCAAAGAGCACTACTTGCTGGGGGCAGGAGGTTAGGGGTTTGGGAGGCATAGTCAATGAGTGACTGAGGTAGAAGCCTAAAGCCCCAGTCATTTCATTTCAGGTTGACTGCAGTTTTGTTGGGCTTTCATCATTGTTCGACCTTGGCCTCTGCTCCTTCCTGATTGGTTTCTCAACCTTCCACGGGATAATCCTGATCATCTCGCTGCACACTAAGCTCCATATGGACCACCCATGGTCTCTAAACAAACAAACAACAAACAAAATCCTAAACACGCTGCCATCAAGTCAATTCTGATTCACAGTGACGGGATAGGATGCGGTAGAACTTCCCTAGTGGTTTCCGAAGCCGTGAATCTTCACAGGGACAGCAAGCCTCCTCTTTCTCCTGCTGAGAAGCTGGAGGGCTCACACCATCGACCTTGTGGCTAGTAGCCCAGTGGTCTAGGATTTATTCTTTTATGTACACCCCGCATCATCATCTATTTATTACTTTGGACAGACTCTGGAGTTGGGTGGCTCATGGATAACTCTTCATTGTCAAGTTAAAAAAATATTGTGTACTAGGTTAAGGTTTACCGAGTAGATCATCAGTTTACATTCAATAATGTGTACATAGTTTATGCTAACTCATTGACTGAAATCTCCTCTGTGCTATCACTTTTTTCACTTCCTCCTTATGCTTCCTGTTTCCTTCCTTCCTTCTTTCCGAAGCCCTTGAACATTGTCCTGGGGTAAATGCTGCCCTTTTGTTTTTAAAGGGTTTATTTTTCTACTACGGGGGTGAGTTCAGTTCCAAGCCTGAAGGGTAATAGCCATAGTCCTGGGGGTCCCACTTGTCTCCATTTTACCTGAAATCCTCATCTCTTTTCTGATTTTGAGTTCTGGTCTGCGTCTTCTCCCACTCTATCGAGAACCTTCTATGCGATCCCTTTCAGAACGGTTGGTGCTAGTGGCCATGCACTACCTTGTTCTTCAGTGAAGGGTCATAGAGTTGGTAGTTATATGATCCATTAGTCCACGTGGTCTCATTGTTCCCATATGTCTTTGACTTGCACCACTCCACAGAGAAAGACCAATGGTTGCACCTTAGACAACTGCTCAGGACCATTTTTAGGCCCCAGTTGCTATTCACTCGAAACCCACTGCCATCAAGTCAATTCTGATTCACTGAAACCCCTTAGGGCAGGGTAGAACTGCCCCCGAGAGTTTCTGAGACTGTAGCTTCATATAGGAGTAGAGAACTTTCTTTCTCCCTTGGAGTTGGCTAGTGGTTTCGAACTGTTGGGTCTCGTGGTTAGCATCCTAACTCATAACCACTATGCCACCAGGTCTCCTTCTGTTAACTCAGAGGAATGTAAAACATTGTCTTTGTGAACTACATTATGCTAATAGAACTTGTTGTTCCCTGAGACCCAGCGTCCTGGTTCTACAGATGCAGCATTCATTGACAAATTTTAATTTATATAACAATCGATTAGAAGTTACAGGTGTTGCAGATAAACACGATTCCATACTTTTGACCTTTTATCTTTTCCTTAAGTCATTTCCTATAGCAATAATCTTCACATCTACTTGGCTTCAGCAGCCCCATTGATGGTGGAACACTTGTTCTTCGTATCCTCTAGAACAGCAGTTTTCAACCTGTAGGTCCCGACCCCTTTGGGGGTCAAATGACCCTTTCACAGGGATCGCCTAAGGCCATCGGAAAACACATATTTCTGATGGTTTTAGGAACAGAGACACCGCTCCTCTATCTGTCTCCAGGTAGGTCCGCCCACATGCAGATACACCCACATACAAGTACCCAGCATGAAAACTGTTACCCATGCTACACCATGCTTCAAGATGAAATTTCATTTATTTGTAATTAGAAATAAATATTTCACAATATATAATTAACATGTTGCTTTGTGCTTAATCACTATGCTTTAATTATGTTCAATTTATAACAGTGAAAATACATTCTGCATGTACACTGGCAGATAGGAACTGAAAATACAGGGAATCCAGGGCAGATGAGCCCTACGGGACAGTGGTGTGAGTGGCGATACAGGGAGGGTAGAGGGAGAGTGGGTAGGAAAGAGGGAACTGATTAAAAGGAACTATATGTGACCTCTTCCCTGGGGGACAGACAACCGAAAAGTGGGTGAAGGGAGACGTCAGACAGGGCAAGATATGACAAAATAACAATTTATAAACTATCAAGGGCTCATAAGGGAGGGGGGAGTGGGGAGGGAGGGGAAAATGAGGACCTAATGCCGGGGGTTTAAGTGGAGAGAAAATGTTTTGAGAATGATGAGGGCAATGAATGTACAAATGCGCTTTACACAATTGATGTGTGTATGGATTGTGATAAGAGTTGTATGAGCCCCCAATAAAATGATTTAAAAAATACGTCCTGCATATCAGATATTTACATGACGATTCATAACAGTAGCAAAATCACAGCTATGAAGTAGTAAGGAGGATAATTTCATGGTTGGGGGGTCACCACAACATAAGGCCTTGTTTGAAAGGAAAGTTGAGAACCACTGCTCTAGAATAACTCAGTAACTGATCTCTCACTCATTGTGGAGCTGTTGGTTAAGCAGAGGACTACTAACCTCAGGGCCAGCAGTTCAAACCCACCAGCCACTTCACAGGAGAAAGATGGACTATCTGCTTCCTGAATATTTACAGCCTTGCTCAGATGGCAGTGGGTTTGGTGCGTGGTCCAATCACAGGCTCCTGGAAACTGAAGCAGCTGATTAAACCAAAGTTGTAAGTTCTGACTAAAATCCACATTATGCCTAAAACGCGTGCATTGTGTTTTTCAGATGCATTTCCATTTTTTTCGTTGAGTTCCAGACGTACTTTGCTCAGGATTATGCACAAACGGCATGGATTCATTCCATCATAGACTGTGTGACCATGCTCTGTGGTGAGTATCACGTTCTGAATTACTGGCTAGCCTTGAAGTGTACGTGACAATGACTTTCCTCTATCCTGGATTGTCAGTTTTTCTAAGTAGAAAACTATGTGGACAATTGGCTGAGATTATGTCCAGCCTGCCTGCAGCCACACCCAAGCTGAGTGGCTCATGGAATTCTGTCACAGTCTTGGCTGATGTCAGATAGGCCAGGTGGTTAGTAGCTGCAGTGGACGCATACTGCTTGGGGCTGCCATTCAGAGAAATAATTGCTGGGCATTATCGGACTCATTCCGATTTTGTAAGTTTACCAAACAGTCTTAAGTTCTGCTTCAGTATCCAATCATGCAATCGTAAGTCCTTTCTCTTCAACGATTGGCTTTTCTACTATAGGAGTGTGTTCAGTTCCAGATCGGAAGGGGAAGGGCCATAGTTTTGAGGGTCCCACCGGCCTCTATTTTACCACAATGTCTAAATCATTTCTCAAGATTTGGTTTCATTGTTTCTTTTCTAGAGGGGTCAACATTTTAGGAGATAGTCTCAAAATTCATGGCATCTTTCGTTCCGTGTGCATAGTGGAGAGCGATAGACCTTCAATTTCAAACCAAGGTTATTAAATAGCTCTGAGTTTCTGAGAATGGATCAAATTTAAATGATTTCCTTTCAGCCTATACCCATCTTTCCTCCTCACGGAAATGAATCCCAAGCATTTGAGGAAACACTGAGCTCTCCGGGCCATGTCTTGGTGGTAAAGGGGGATAACTATACTAATGGAGTAGCTCAGAGATAACAGCTTCTGATTCCATTTTGTGTCCTGACTCCTATTTATTTTTGGGAAAAGATGCATGTATTTTTAAAAATTATTTTATTGAGGGCTCGTGCAATTCTTATCACAGTCTATACATATATCCATTGAGTCAAGCACATATGTACATTTGTTGCCCTCATCAATCTCAAAACATTTGCCCTCTACTTTAGCCCTTAATATCATTTG